TCTCATTTTGTTTTATCTCGCTCTTTGGAGGCACAATTGCTAAGTGGGTGTGAGCATAGGCTCTGAAGTCAGTCTACCTAGAGCTCCTATCTTGCCACTGCCACTTATTAAGCTGTTTAGTTAAGTTACTAAACCATGATTTGCTTTCTATAAAATGATATGATAGCCTATATCTCTTAAGAGTATTGAGGTTAAAAAGGAAATGATGCTTAGTTTTTAGCATAGGTTACAGCCCATAGTATTTAATAAATTTTAGTGTTAATGATGGTATCAGGTCTTTTTACTCAGTTTGAAATTCTAAGTCTATATAGTTCTCAAGGAGAGAAATGTTATATTTCATGAAGATTTAGAGTATTAAAAATATGACAAGTGTAGTGCTTCATTTTGTTTTTAAAAGTTTATTATATTTCTGTCTGAAAAACCAACTCATCACTAAGGTACCCTGACTTAACTATTACACATTCATTTTCTAACTGTGCATTAAACTACATTTTTCTGTGGTTGCTTTGCCATTTGTTTCTTTATTCTTTCATCTAATTGATGTTCACAGGATGCCAGGTACTGTGTGAGGTGCTGAGAATGGAGAAAAAATTTTCCTTCTCTTTAGAACCTTACAATTATGTAAATTTTCTCCAGTAAGATTGTAAACTCTCAGAAGAGAGTGTCTTCTATTGCGTGTTACTCACTGTGTTCTGTCTGCCTACTACTCAGTACATGCAGACTGAATTGAATAACTAAAGATAGACTTTTCTTTCTTTTATTTAGGCAAACAGTTCTGCTATTATTGATCACATATTTGCCAGTAAAGCAGTGGTGAATGCCGCAATTCCAGCCTATCACCTAAGAGACCTTATCAAAAGGTACGTGACCTGTGCTGTAAACTTGCTTTGCATACATTTATTATCTGAAGTGGATTTTTTTCTTTTAATTGTTGAATGGATTTATATTAGTATGTCCAGTTTGCTTAATTATGCAGAGGCATTGTCCCCTAGAAAAAAGAATTTTAGTTCAGATAGTCTATATAGGCTAGCTTTCTATAAAAAGCATAAGGAATCAAGCAGTTTTACTACATTTATTTTCAAAGGAATGTTCTTTTGTTGATAGTGAATGCCAGATGTTTATTTCTTCCTGGCAACTATTTACTCACTAGAAGGTAGATAACTGGACCTCTATACCTTTGGCCTTTCCTAGCTCTGGCAGTTCTAAATATTAATGGAAAACGGTTTTAAAAGAGTCTTTATTAATGAAAGACCAGGTTTGCTTTTTTGCAGGACTAAAATAAATCAACACTATTTTGAATAAGGTAGTTTTAAAAGTTATACTTCAAATATTTGCCATTAAACAGCTCTGGAGACAGATACAGTGTTTTTGACATCTGAATAGATTCAAGTACAATAGATATTTTGAAAATAAATAATATGTACAATCCTGTGCCATTTAATGAGAGGAAGACATTCTGAGAAATGTGTGTTAGGCTGTTGTGTCATGCAGACATTATAGAGTGCACTTACACATACCTAGGACACATCCCTGAGGCTGTATGGCACAGCTGATGCTCCTACTGAATTACTATAGGCAACTGTAACACAATGGTAAGTATTTATGTATCCGAATGTATCTAAACATAAAAAAGATACAGTAAAAATAATAGTATACTAGGTAAAAAATGGTACATCTGCATAGGCCATTTAAGTGGTGGTCATATATGAAGCTTGCAGGACTGGAAGTTGCTCTGGGTGAGTCAGTGGTGAGTAGTGAATAGAAGGCCTAGGATGTTACTGTAAACTACTATGTACTTTATAAACACTATACGAATAGGCTACATTAAATTTATGAAACCAGTTTTTCTTCAATAATAAATTAACTTTTGCTTACTACAACTTTTTTCTTTAAGTTTTCTTTTGGCTCTTTTTAATAATACTTTGCTTACAACACATTGCACAGCTGTACAAAAATATTTTTCTTTATATTCTCATAAGTCTTTCTCTGTTTTTAAATTTTACAATTTTTTTTAATTTTTAAACTTCTTGTTAAGAACTAAGACACAAACACACTCGTTTGCCCCGAGGCCTACAGGGTCAGGATCATCAGTATCACTGTCTTCTACCTCTACACATTGTTTTTCTAGATCTTTAAGGGCATAACAGGCATTGTTATGTCATCTCCTATGATGATAATGCCTCTAAAGCAGTGGTTCTTAACCTGTAGGTCACGATGCCTTTGTAACAATGAAAATACATCCTGCATATCAGATATTTACATTACGATTCATAACAGTAGCAAAATTACAGTTATGAAGTAGCAACAAAAATAATTTTATGGTTGGGGGTTTCCACAACATGAGGAACTGTATTAAAGGGTCACGGCATTAGGAGGCATTAGAAGGTTGAGAACCACTGCCATAAAGGCTGTTGTACAGCTCACTATTATTTATAAGGCATGTGCTCTAAAATGATAATAAAAAGTAATAAATAGATAAGCCAGTAACATAGTCATTTATCATCATTATCAGGTATTATATACTGTATGTGCAGTCATTTTATGTGACTAGCAGCACAGTATGTGTACACCAGTGTTGCCTCCAATGTACTGAGTAATGTGTTACACTGAATCATACAGTGACTGCATTGTCCCTAGGCAGTAGGAATTTTTCAGGTTCATTATAATCTTATGAGACCACCGTTGTTTATGTGGTCCCTTGTTGGTTAAAACATCACTGAGTGGTGTCTATGTTAGCAAAAGTAGGCTTTTCAGGTTTCTAAAATAAAGAGCCAGAAATGAATAGAAGAATTGGTATGCTAGAAAAGGATGGAGCCCATCTTTGAATCTTAGTATTATAGTTTCTTTGGAATATTGGCACTATAAACCTTCAAATTAGTTGTTTTTTAACTTTTTCTTTTGAAATAATTATAAACACATAGAATATTGTAAAAATGTTATAGAGAGATCCTTATCCTTTACATAGTTTCCTACAAAGGTGACATCATACGTAATTAGTATAATATCAAAACCAGTAAATTAACATTGGTACAATCCATAGAACTTGCTAAAATCTCGATATGCAAATACTTATTTATATGTGTTTTTCAAATTAAATGTAAATAGCCGTTAATATCTAATTGATATTCGGTATTACAAATTAGATTTTTATGGCTCAGTGCCTATAGCACAGTGGTTATGGCACCAGCCACATATACTGGAGCTGGTAGATTTGAACCCAGCTCAGGCCAGCTAAAAACACCAATGACAACTGCAACAAAAAAAAATAGCCAGGCGTTGTGGCGGGTGCCTATAGTCCCAGCTACTTGGGAGGCTGAGGCAAGAGAATCACTTAACTCCAAGAGTTTGAGGTTGCTGTGAGCTTTGACACCATAGCACTCTACTGAGGGTGACATAATGAGACTCTGTCTCAAAGAAAATGAAAACAAATTAGATTTTACATTGAGGAGATAGCAGTGTAAAATTATAAAAATGATTCTAGCCCCAAAGTTAAATCATTTAAGTTCTAGTACTGACTTTGTTATTTTTATTATTAACTAATAGCTTTTTTCTAGGTTATACAACTAACATTAATTTTGGAAACTACAAAAAGTTGTGATGAAGAAAATAAAAGTTATAAACCTACTTTCTAATGTTAATCCTTTGGTATATTTCCTTTCAATTTTTTTTTTGCATACTGTGTACACATGCAAGTTACTTGAACCTTTTTTTGTAGAATAAACCTCAGATACTGTAATCCTAGCACTCTGGAAGGCCAAGGCAGGTGGATTGCCTGAGTTCACAGGTTAGAGACCAACCTGAGCCAGAGTGAGACTTTGTCTCTAAAAATAGCTGGGTGGCGAGGCCGGCGCCTACAGTCCCAGCTACTTGGGAGGCTGAGACAAGAGAATCGCTAGAGCCCAAGAGTTTGAGGTTGCTGTGAGCTATGACGCTAAGGTACTTATACAGAAGGCAAACTCTGGCTCCAAAAAAAAAAAAACAAATTCAGAGATACTGAAACCACTTATAAAAGAAAGATGTAGCTTAGTGAATCTTTAGCAACATTGTAACCACCTTATAACTCCCTTTCATGTCAAGAAGTAGAACTTTGCCAGCAACTTTGGAGGTCTTCTGTGTCCCGTCCTATTCTCAAACCCCTTCTTAAAAGTAACCAGTACAGCTCACTTTTATGGTAATTACTTCCATGTTTTCATTATAGTTTTATTACTCAAGCACACATTCTTAAACACACATTAAACCTTGCGTGGTTTTTTTTTGTTTTTTTTTTTTGTTCTTCTGAAAAAAATAATCCTTTTAGTTCTCTTTTAATTTAAGGGTTCTCTTTCCCCCGTATCTCTTTTAGTTTATTTATTGAACATCTTAGATTGTTGGCTCAGTATAATTTTCCACAGCCTGAATATTGCTGATTGTATCTTTATGGTGGAGTTTAACATATTTCTGTTTAATTCCTCTAAATTGGTAGTTGGATCTAGAGGGTTTGATTTTTTTTTTTCAAGACTATACAAATGATTCATTAAAATTTCTAATTCTTTACTAAGTTTTATAACCTAATTTTTGAGATATTCTAATTTTGATTCATACTGCTTTTTCCATATCTATATTGTTTTGAAAATATATTTTGCTCATTTCAAAGTGGTAGGTTACAGTGCATTGTGGTCTTTCTGGCTTGCTATCTGAGGGGTGTTATTCAGACATCTCCTGGCTCTTCCTCTCCCCTAATGTTTCCTGGTGCCCCTTATCCCTTCCCTCCTCATTTACCTCATCGTGCTTAATTTGTATTTGATTCTCGTGATTTCTTCTTGCTGTGAGACTTTGCGGTGGAAGGAACCTTTGGCTAGTTAGTTTTAAGAGGTTTTAGCGTTTAGATTACCCTGCCCCCTCCAGATTTTACATTCTGTTTGCTTGGTATTAAAATGTGTAACCCCTTGTAGTTCTGGCTACTTTTCACTAATTGGCCTGCTGTGCTTCTGGTGAGTACGTTTTGACGATTTTGGGCTATTCCTTCTGGTTCATTAGTTCTACTGTTTTCTCTGCTTCCTTGCACATAGATACCAGTATGGTACAATCTTACTGCTACTGATAGTTTGTTTTCAGTGGGTCACTTTTAATAATAAATGTTTACTTATTGTAGGGAAATTATAGCCCTTTTACACTATAGATATTTCAACAGCTATATAGAGATAAACTAACCTTATTAAATTGTAACACCATTTCAGTCCTTCTGTTTTTTCCTTTATGGACATTTTAAAAACATTTCTTTAACTGACAGACAAAATTATACATATCTTGTTCAACATGATGCTGTGAAGTGTATATACATAGTGAAATGGGTAAATCTAGCTAATTAACACATACCTCACATAGTTATCATTTTCGTAGTAAGAACACTTAGCATTCACCCTCTGTGTTTTTCAGGAATACAATGTGTCATCGTTAACTATAGTTAATGGCTATTATGAATGGTGCTGCAATAAATGTGGGAGTATACATATCTCTTCAACATACTGATTTCATTTCCTTTGGATAAGTGCAAGCAATTCCTAGGTTACAGATAAGATAGTCTCTGTAGGTTGCTCTTAAGTTGAATTTGTGTATAAATTATAACAGGTACATTTACCTATTACCTGTAATGACTACTATTTATGAGCCATAAGTCAGTCGGATGTTTGTAACTTGGGGACTGCCTGTTTCCAGTAGTGGGTTTGCTGGATTACATGGTAGTTCTGTGTTGAATTTTTTTGATGAACCTCCATACTGCTTTCCATAATGGCTATGCTGATTTACATTCCTGCCAGCAGTATGTAAAGATTCCCTTTTCTCCCCATCCTTGCTGGTACTTACTGTCTTTTTATTAATAGCCATTTCAACAGATGTGAGGTAATGATCACATTGTGGTTTTAATTCGTATTCCCTGATGTTTATTGATACTGGGCATTTTTTCATATGCCTGTTAACTATTCGTATGTCTTCTTATGAGGAATGTCTATGGATGTGTTTTGCCCGTTTTTTAACTGGGTTATTTGTTTCCTTCTTATTGAGTTCCTTATTTGTTTTTGATACCCCTTAGCAGATACATAGCTTATAAATATTTTCTTCTATTCTGTAGGTTGTCTCTTCATTTTGCTGATTGTTTCCTTAACTGTGCAAAAGCTTTTTAGTTGACTAGTATGTGTAATCTCATTTGCTCTTGCATTTGTTGCCTGTGCTTTTGAGGTTGTAGTCAAAAAATCATTGCCTAGACCAATGTCATCCAGCTTTCACCTATTTTCTTCTAGTGTTTTATAGTTTTGGGTCTTACATTTAGGTCCTTAATTCATTTTGAGTTGATTTTGTATTTGGTGAGAGGTAAGGGTTTAATTTTATTCCTCTATGGATATCTAGTTTTCCCAACACTGTTTATTGAAGAGACTCTCCTTTCCTCGTTACATATTTTTGGCACCTTTGTTGAAAATCAGTTAGTTGTAAGTGCATGGATTTATTTCTGGGGCCTCTATTCTATTCCATTCGTCCATGTCTCTGTTTTTATACCAATACCATGCTGTTTTGGTCACTATAGCTTTGTGGTATATTTTGAAGTCAGGTAGTGTGATGCCTCAGGCTTTGTTTTTTTTTTCCTCAGAGTTGTTTTGGCTCTTTGGTGTGTCCCTATAGTTCTGTTATAAATGTTGTCCATGGGCTTTTTGGTTTTGTTATCAACTTGCAAATTAGAGGGGGAAATTAGACATGATTCAACAATTATCCCACCACTCTCTGTGGTTTTTTTTTTCTTCCTTTTTATTGTGTTACTACGCCTATGTCTGTTTTGTTCCCCCCACTCACTGTTGCAGAGTTCAGGTCACTTTCCCATGTTCATTTATTAGTCAAAAGCATTATTTTAAATCACAGTATAATCGTATATTATGGTTATGTATCATGACATATTGAACTGTTTGCTAAAAAATGAAATTTACATTCTTGATAGGTGAATGATTCATGCTAATGTGTTAGCTAATCATGATAACAACTAATGCTGTGATGAACATTTAGACATTTTTACTTTCTTTAATGGTTGCATTATTTTTTAATTATTATTATTATTATTTTTTTTTTTTTTGAGACAGTCTCACTTAGTCACCTCTTAAGTCAAACCTTAAAAGAGTTTCAGGTTGCTGTGAGCTATGGCACCATGGCACTCTGGTCTCAAACTCCTGAACTCAGGCCATCCACCAGCCTCAGCCTCCCAGAGTGCTAGGATTACAGTCATGAGCAAGTGCCCAGCTTGCTTACATTTTGTCAATAATTGTAAAGATGCTTGTTTTCCTGTTTTAGCATGCTTCATGATGATCCAAGCCGAAGAATTCCTGCTGAAATGGCATTGTGCAGCCCATTCTTTAGCATTCCTTTTGGTAAGTTGTTTGTGTTTTTATTTTTTTCATGATTATTTGACAGTCAAGTAAGATATCAGGAGTAATTTGTATTCCCAAACTCCTTTCTCTCTTGTTCACTGGTTTTTGGGGGTGGGGGTGGGGGTTACATTTAAATGCATGTAACTATATCATGATGAATTTGAACAGCCCCTCATATTGAAGATCTGGTGATGCTTCCTACTCCAGTGCTAAGACTGCTGAATGTGCTGGATGATGATTATCTTGAGAATGAGGAAGAATATGAAGGTTAGTACTTTCTAAGTTACAGTCTAATGTGTCTTTTCTTACCTAAGTCTAGAAGAGAGTTATCTATTCATAAAATTTTCATATTTTCCTGGTTTATACAGTGAGGGTGTTGAACTATATGATCTCTAAAATACCCTCACTTTTTGATTCATAATGTTCTTTTGACTCCTTTTCGTATCATGTTTACCAAATCAATAAAGAAGATTAATTTTCCCAGCAACTTCTGTCTCTCTGCTCTTTCTTTTCTAGCCCTTCTCTGTGTTTTTATTTCTTCTATTTTTGCTCTCTTTTTTTGTTCTTAACATTTCATTCATTCAAGACATACTTACTATTTCCTATGTTGCCATCGTGGTATTATTCCCTGTCTTTAGGATTGTAGAGGAGACAGATTTATAAATATACAATTATAGTTGTGAGAATCTTGTCAGTTAAAGCTAAAGAGGTAAAGGGTGGCGCCTGTGGCTCAAAGGAGTAGGGTGCTGGCCCCATATGCCAGAGGTGGCAGGTTCAAACCCAACCCCAGCCAAAAACTGCAAAAAAATTACAAAGAAAAAAGAAAAAAAAAAAAGCTAAAGAGGTAGCTAGAGTGTAGGTAGATCTATTTAGTGTATTTTAGAATTTGGATTTTACCCCAGACATAGTAGCCCTGGTGAAAGAACTGTATCAGGCATAGAACAATCCCTGGGTTAGGGCAATCACCCAATAAATACCTCTTTTTGTTGCATGCAGTAAAGAGTTGTTCAAAATTTTAAGTAGGAGGAAGATAGAATTGAGCGTGTGTTTTATTAGGAAGCATTTGTGTCAACCTAACCCTACTACTAGAGAGGCAGTTTTGTATAGTGGTTAAGAGTGTGGACTGAGGTTATGTTCTGCCGCCACTGATTAGCTTCATTGACCTGTACTTTCCTTACCTGTACAACGGGCATAGTAAATAGTACCTATCTCATAGGATTGCTGTGAAAATTAAATGAGTTAATTTATAAAAATTTCTTAGACCAATACCTGGCAAATAGTAAGTAATCAGCAAATGTTAGCTATTTTTAACCACTAGAATGTATGTGCCATCAGAGCTAGTAGGTTTTTTTTTTTTTTT